TTGTTTTAGATTTCTTCCAGTTGCCTATGGTGACAGTTGGCTATCAGTAAGGGCAAGGTCCTACATATGACTAACAGTGACACCAGGCTGGATTTTCACTTCCAAATTGAGAAACACAAGGCAGTGGAGTTCCCTTCCTTGAACCTGCCAGCTCCTGTATAGTCACTAACTCTTTTTCTCCTAGAGACATGAAGAAGCTAGGGTTTGCCAAAGGAAGTTGGAGTAGGTCATTGAGTCCTGCCAGTCAACAAGACCCTGACTGTTTTGATTATGATCTTCACTCCATCTTCCTGCCTGTCCCCCCTGACCTTTGTCAAGCTGTAGATAACAATAACGAGGGTCAAAAAGATGTGCCTCTTCATGTCACTCGGACTGCATTTACAGATTCGCTAGAGAAAATGATAAATATTAAGAAGTAATCATTGAACGTCTGTAAAATGATAAACACTGTTAGAGATATTATTTCTATTTCAATAATCATTTGATGACATCACTCACCCAGCCCTGCCCCCACCATCCCACAACCATCCATATTCCCAGTTTAATACTTTCTCTGCAGCTCAGATGACCTGCCAATCTTCTCCAGTTTGCCTTCTCGCGCTTTACTCAATTCTTTGGAGTACAGATCAGTTAGAACCTCTTGGATACCAGCTGGAAATTTTGCTTTTGTGGCTTTAGAGGCTCCGGAGCTTAAGGAAGCATCTCTTTCCTTGTGTTTTGCCCCAGGAGAAGTTTGGTGTAACTCAGCTTCCTCCCTGGCTGCAGACCCTTCACCATGATCACCTTCAGAAATCAGCTGATTGCGTTCAACTGCAATGTTCTCATAATCTGGGATAGAACCTGTAGGAGAAGGGATGTTCTGGTCTTCAAAACTACTCGGTGAATTTTCACAGGTTGACTTTTGTATGTCTTTGAGAAAAGATGGCTCTTCCTCAAATGACAGCAGGGATTCTATATCCGAAACATTCTCATACACTGGGTCTATAAAAGAGTCATCACTGTAACTATCTCTGTATGTTGTAGGATTAACTGTCGACTCCTCCACATTGACTTTTGTTGGTTTTCCTTCAGGATATTTGACAGTAGCATAAACTACTTCACCTACACCCTCCCTATCATTGGTTGCAGGAAGATTCCTTTCGGCTCCTTTAGCCCCAGAAGGTGAGGTATTGCCTTTACGATCTCGATTTTCTTTTCTCTTCTTAACCTTTCGATTTGAGTCTGTGCCCTTCGTGGGAAGCACTCTTCCACCTGATGATGATTTTTCATCGGAAGATTCCTGACCAAGGGATGCTACACTTAGCAGTTGTCGACTGGACGCTGTGGAAGCCTCAGAGCTAACTGAGGTTAAACTTAATCGTTGCTGTTTCTTCTTGGACTCTTTTTCCTTTACTGCTGCATCAATAATGTGGAAAATTTCTTTGACTGCCTTTGTTTCGAATACAAAAAGTCCTTGTCCTGAATCACATCTTCTTCCTGCCTCAAATGTAAAATTTACCTGATAAGAAAGAAAATATCAGTCAGATGTTACGTCAGAATACGATTTTCATTTGACTACATTCAACTCCATGCAACATCATAACTTTAGAGATCAGATATTTAACCATGGCACGGTGGCTCAGTGGTTAGCACTGCAGTCTCACAGCCCCAGGAATTTGGGTTCCATTCCACCCTCCAGTGACTGTGTGGAGATTGCACCTTCTCCCCGTGTCTGTGTGGGTTTCCTCTGGGTGCCCTGGTTTCCTCACAAAGTCCAAAGGTGTACAGGTTAGGTGGATTGGCCATGCTAAATTGCCCGTAGCGTGCAGGCCCATTGGCTGTGGGAAATGCAAGGATCCCTGAAAATTACAGGGGTAGGGTAAGGAGGTAGGTCAGGGTTTGGAGGGTTGTTGTGTCTTGATGGGCTGAATGGCCTGCTTCCCCCCACTGTAGGGATGCTATGATTCTAAAAGCTCAGCCTTCAAGTGAGCCAAGCAGGTGGATTTAGTCACATCACCACAGGCTCTTTGCACTGTAACACTCTCGGTCTGTGTCTGGAGAGTACTCTGTGCTGTATATATTAGTTTAGCTTTAAATAAACCATCAGAGATCATCAATAAGTGGAATCCTCATCCCTCAGTTGCCTGACGTTTAGATGATAAAGAGTAATATGATCGGCTTTCTCACTAGCTCACATTTGCATGGGGCTGAATGTTAATTCTGAGCACCAGAATTCTATCTTTGGTGGAGCAACCTCTTACCTTTGACCAAAGTGACATTAATCAATTATACATCGAGAACTAGATGAAGAGGAATAATCTGCATGAAGGATTTTTATTGCACATTCCGCCTTCTTTAATTTAAAAGGAGAAATATTGCACAGTTTTACCTTCTCACATCCATAAAACAAACTGAATGAACAATTTATTTAAATGATTTGGATATAAGGGATCAAACTGTAATATTTCTAAGTTTAAGGTTCTTGAGTAGATTTGTAGCTCGGGTTGTGGATGTTGTGGTTGGTTGGCTCGCCAAGCTGGTTTGTTGGTTCACAGACGTTTCATTACGCTGCTGGGTAACATCATCAGTGTAGCCTCCGATAAAGTGCTGTTGTATTTTCTCGCCTGTTATTTGAATTCTGGGGTCTGCTGGAATTGGTGACCTCATTTCTGGTTTTCCTTTGCAGTGGTGTATATATAAGGTCTAATTCTATGTGTTTATTGATGGCCTTCTTGGTGGAGATATAGGCCTCTAGAAATTCCCGTGCTTGTCTCTGTTTGGCCTGTCCTAGGATCCTGATGTTGTCCCAATCAAACTGGTGGTTCTCCTTATCCTTGTGAATGGAGATGAGTGAGTATTGGTCATGTCTTTTTGTTGCTAGTTGGTGTTCATGTCCTCATGTGGCCAGTTTCCTTCCTGTCTGTCCAATGTAATGTTTGGCGCAGTCTCCCATGCAAAAACAACACAACAGCGCTTCAGCAGGGGCTGCACTGATGATGTTACCCAGCAGGGTAATGAAACGTCTGCAAATTAACGAACCAGCTTGGTGAGCCAACCGACCACAGTATTTCTAAGTTTGCTGCAGGCACTAAACTAGCTGGGAATACAAGTTGTGAGAAAGATGCAAGGTTACTTCAAGAGCACTTGGACAGGCTAATCAAACAGACCCAAACAAGGCAAATGAAATATAATGTGAACAAATGTGAATTATTCATTTTGACAGTCAAAACCGAAAGGCTGAATATTTCTTAAAGAGTGAGAGATTGCCGAGCGCTGCTGTCTAAAAGGATACAGATGTCTTTGTCTTTGAGTCACTAAAAGCTTTGGTGTGGAGGTGCCAGTTTTGGACTGGGGTGGACAAAGTCAGAAGTCCAACAGGTTTATTGGAAAACAAAAGCTCAGAAAGCTTGTGATTTCAAATAAACCAGTTGGACGATAACCTGGTTTTATGTGAGTTCTCACTAAGAGCTGACATGCGGTGCAGCAAGTTGTGAAGGAGGCAGACTGTAAGTTGCCAATTCAAGGTAATTTGAATACAACAATTCTGTACAACCTTGGCAAGACCACAGCTGGAGCATTGTGTACGGGTCTACTGTCTCTGTCTAAGAAAGCATGATATTGACATAGACGGAGTTCAATAAATATTCATGAGATTAATCCCTGGGATGCAGGATTGTTTTGAAAAGAGATTGAGGAGGAGGTCTGTAATCACTGGAGTTCTGAAGAATGACAGGCAATCCTGTTGAAACTGATAAAATTCTTACAGATTGTAACAGGGTAGATGCAGATAGATATTTCCCTCGGTGAATCAGGATTATGATGGTGGATGTTAAGAATTCTGTACCTAGAGATCTGTAGGAGCTCTATCATTGAGTATGCTCATGACAGAAATCGATGTGTTTATGGAGACTAATGACATGAATGAGGATGGAGAAAGTACAGGAAGGTGGTATTGTGGTAGACATTTTATAAGAACTGAGGTGGCCACATTGATAAATCACTGAAGGCTAACATGCAGGTGCAGCAAACTCCTGGGAAGGCTAATGGAATTGTGAGCATTTATTGCAACAGGATTTGAGTGCAGGAGTAGTGAAGTCTTGCTTCAGTTGTCTAGGAGCTTGGGGGGTTAGACTGCACCTGGAATACTTTCTGTAGGCTTAGGGCTTCCTAATCCCAGCAGAGATATTATTGCCATAGAGAAATGCAATGAAGGTTCACCAGACTTGCTCCTATGGAGAGAAATTGGGCAAACCAGGTCTGTAATCTCTAGATTTTTGAAGAATGAGAGGTCATAGAAAGAATCACAGAGATATATAGCATGGAAACAGACCCTTTGGTCCAACTCGTCCCTGCCGACCAAATGTCCTAAATAAATCTAGTTCCAATTACCAGCATTTGGCCCACATGCCTCTAAACCCATCTTATTCATATACATCCATACGCCTTTTAAATGTTGTAATTGTACCAGCCTCCACCACTTCCTCTGGCAGCTCATTTCACACACGCACCACACTCTGTGTGAAAATGTTGCCCCTTAGGTCCCTTTTAAATCTTTCCTCTCTCACCTTAAACTTCTGCCCTCTAGCTTTTGATTCCCCCACTCCAGGGAAAAGTCCTTATCAATTTATACTATCCATGCCCCTCATGACTTTATACACCTCACCCCTCAGCCTCTGACGCTCCAGGCAAAATAGCCCCAGCCTAGCCAGCATCTCCATATAGCTCAGACCCTCCAATCCTGGCAACATCCTCCTAAGTCTTTTCTGAACCCTTTCAATTTCACAACATCTTTCCCGTAGGTGATCTTATTGAAATCAATGAAATACTTAAAAGGATAGATAGAGTTAATGCAGGTATGCTGTTTCCCTTAGTTGGGACTCTAGAAACATGAGGCACAAGTTATAAATAAGGGAAAGTTACTTACATCTGAGAAGAGGAGAATTCTTTTTAGGCACAGTGTTATGAACCTTTGGAAAACTCTACCAAAGAGGCCCTGTGGCAGTAAAGTCTTTGAGTATGTTTTATAGAGAGATTGAGAGATTTCTGATTACCAGTGGCACACAGGTTATGGGCTTGGGGGGTGAATAAAAGGCACCAGTGTTTGGTTAGCCATAATCATACTGAACGCTAGGGCAGGCCTAAGGGACTGAACGGCCTATTCCTATTCCCCGTTCCTACTTTCAGCAGACTGAATTCAATGGCAAGTCTGGTTTGATGGGCTGAAGGCCAACTCGTGTTCTTAACGCTTCCACAACCAGCATGCGAGAGGCTAAAGTTAGGCTGCGTCTACTTCCCACTTAATTCCTCCCTTATCAGTTTACCCTCAGCGATTGTCAACTTGGCTGAATCTCCCACTATTAGGTACAAGGATGCAGTTTCCATTCAATGTGGGAAGCCAGTGATGTCACCAGTTCCATGATATGATTTTAACAATGACTCTGGCCTAGGCTCTTCTGGTGACAAGCCAGACAGCTCGAGTCTCAATGGCAGGAGATGCCAACTGCAGAGAAAATGGCCATCAGGTGTTGAGTGCGTAGTGAACCGCCCGTGGTCAGGAAGGGCAGGGCAGCTCCCCCCCACCCCTGCACTGATGCTACAATTAGTTCCTGGACATCTACAGCCCTGATCTAGTCTCTTCCTGCACTGGTTAGTTCAGCTATCACAGTCATTGCCTATGCCAGAGATCTCTCCTACCTGACACCACTGTCCTAAATCAATGGAGCCCAATTCCCACTGCCCTTACCTGAGGGGATTAGGATTAGGGGGACTGACCTGGATTATTTATATGAGACATAGGAGTTAAAATGGCCCGGGCTTTATGGTACGCTCCTCAGAAGGGATGCCCATCCCAAATGTGCCTCCAAATAAAATCAAGGCTTCAGGCTCTTTCCTGTTGTAAATCACTTCTTGTAATACTATATTTTGAATCAGAGATAGTAGGAACTGCAGATGCTGGAGAATCTGAGACAACAAGGTGCAGGGCTGGATGAACACAGCAGGCCAAGCAGCATCATAGGAGCAGAGAGGCTGACGTTTCGGGCCTAGACCCTTCATCAG